TTTTAAACCCCAAAATACATTACGGCAAAGACTGGTTCATCCCAAAGATCCAGTCCCCCGGCACAAACAGAGTAATGTTGTGTATGCTGTTCAGTGTCAGGAGGGCTGTGATCAGTCTTACATCGGGGAAACAAAACAGCCACTGGCCAAAAGGATGGCCCAGCACAGAAGATCAACATCATCAGGCCAGGATTCTGCGGTCTACACTCATCTCCAGGCCAGCGGTCACTCTTTCAAGGATGAAGATGTTCACATCCTGGACAGAGAGGAACGATGGTTTGAGAGAGGAGTAAAGGAGGCCATCTTTGTGAAAAGAAATCGTCCATCATTAAACAGGGGTGGAGGCCTCCGGGTTCAACTGTCCCCCTCTTACAATGCTGTGATTGCATCACTCAACCCTCTGTGAGTAGTAAACAGCCATCAGTGTGCTAATGATCCATTGTTAGGCTGATGGTCCTTCTTGAGCATGTGATCAGCTGGTTTTGGTTATCAGCAGCAAACTGGTTGATCCACTCTAAGAAGGTGCTATTTAAGAGACTGAGCTGAATACAGCACCTCAGACTGAGGAAGTCTCTTGGATGAGAGACGAAACGTTTCTACATTTTTTTTGCTTTGTTTTGTTTTTTGCTTTTTTGAATGTCCAGAGGACCAGATTGAACTTTTTTGGATTTTTCTACCTGGATTATTGAGCATGCATCAGGATAAAGGAGACAGAGCCTTTTCTTCTGTGGCTCCAAGACTCTGGAACTCCCTTCCTCAAACTCTTCGATCAGTGGACTCAGTGGCTTCTTTTAAAGGTCAGCTTAAAAACTCATCTTTTTAAATCTGCCTTTGCTTAAATTTGTTTTGTGCACTTTTTAAATTTTGTTTGTCGATGCACTTTGTGATTTTTTATCTTGAGAAGCGCTATATAAATAAAGTGTTACTTACTTACAGTTCATAGTTCCTGTAAGAGCCAAAAGAGAATGTTTGTGTTGTTTAACTTATGGTGGCAAAAAATGTTCAGATTTGTCTATCAAGTGCTGGGTTAATAGGTTTTTTGTAAACTTTTCTGTTGACCCTCACCCTTTGATCGTCACTTTTTTTGATCAACATCTTTAGTCATTTTTCAGTCATACAATGTAAATCAATACAGGCGCTGTTTGATGGATGGCAAAAATTCACCGTGTTAGTTTTAAAATAAATGCACAAAACACAGGTTGGACTGAGCATGGCTCATTGGAGACGCGTCACAAAGCAAAACCTACTCAGCCGGCAGCGGCTTTATTTTGTGGCTCGAAGTCGCTATGGTTTCTCTCCGACATGAAGCACTTGGTATACCGATCAAGTTGATGTTACATATGAACACACAGCCTGCTGCTAGTCCTGAACGTTCTGCAAAAACAACGGTCAGATCTTGTGCTTTCTGTGTTAAGCAGAGGCCACTGTTTGGTACATACATCAGGTTTAATGTCAAAACTCTGCATGCTTTTGGAAAGGCAGATAAGAACGTCTGTACCACCAGCTGTTCTGGCTCTGTGTTGTGACTGAAACAACGCCTCCTGGTTTTTCTGCTTTCCTTCCAAACAGTCTCGAGTTGCTCTGCCAGATGTGTCTGTTCATATGGCCTTGCATATTCTAGTCCGGTGTGATGCAGCAGTTAGCGTTAAGTAACTCTCTGTAGGCCTGGATGATCACCCATCATCTGTGAGAGCAGCAGCAGAAATTTTAAACCAGTCCTGGATAACTGTAGCTTCTACTTAGCTCATAAAAGGATAGGCTCGGCATGTCTCTAGCTAAAATGACAACTTTAAGATGAAAGGTTTAGCTATTTTTAACGTGTTTTAAACACGTTACTGAAAGTTTGAGAACAGTCGCATGATTTTATGTTGTTTGTCTGAATGGTCAGCCAGGGAATTGTTCCCGCCCCGTACCTGTAATGTTTACATTCAGGTAATGTTTTATTAAACGAGAGCTTAATTTCAATGTCCAAAAAAATGAAGGTTTAAACAAAACAACTGGACTTTATTTTGCAGCTGAAGTTGTTTCGCTTCTCATCCAAGGAGCTTTCTCAAGTCAAAGACTGGAGAGCGTGGAGTGTGAGCTATAAGTTGAGGTGTTCTGTAAGCTGGATTCACATGCAGATTGCCCTCTCACTCCTCAACTCAAACTCCACTCTCCATTCTTTGAACTGAGAAAACTCCTCAGATGAGAAGCAAAACATCTTCAGCTACAAAATAAAGTCCAGTTGTTTTGTTTTAAACTTTTTTATTATTATTATTTACCAAGTCCTGGATGACTGAGAATATTCTCCAGCATATATTTCAATGTGAACAAACAACACTAGCATACAGCTTTGTTCAACGGTACGCCCATTTTAAGTCATTGTTATGTGGAGCACGTTGTTGTACTTTGTTGTACATAGAAACTCAGAGTTAAATTTAGTTTCCTGCACTGCTCAGCATGTTAAAATGCTGCATTCATTCAGTGTGTGCGAGTGCTGAACAGAAGGCCTGCACAGAAATGTTTTGGTACAACTACCGTACTTTTCGCTGTATAAGTCGCACCTTTTTGCATAAATTAGCATGCCCTGCGACTTGAGAAGTGACTTACGTATGTTTTTCCCCCATATTTATAACACAATTTTTGACCGATCTGACGATTTCATTCATTCTGACATGGAAAATATTGAACACTACCATTTTCAGCCACTAGAGGGTGATCGATTAATGTGGCAAGCCAAGTGGCTCATTAATAGGCAAAAGTGGCTTTTAATGAGACACTTGGCTTGCCATACAAGCCACTTTCATCTTGCTCTGGAACTCCTGGAGCAAATGTCAAATCAGCTGCATTTCACTGCGCCACCCAGGCGAAATTCAGCTGATTTGACCGTCAGAGTGCATTTATTAGGGAAAAGTTCAACTGAGACACACCTTTACTATGTCAAGCAAACAATTATTTTTAGGTGGTTTATTTGTTAAATTTCGAATAAGTGCAGTGAGTCCTCCTTCTGCACGCTCCCGCAGCCACAAATCGATTTTTGAAATGCAGCTGATTTGACCATTAAAGTGCATTTATTAAGGAAAAGTTAACCTGAGATACAGCTTTACTATAATTTAGAGCACACTAATAATTGTTTTTAAGTGTTAATCTTGTTAAAGCCCTCCCCTGCACGCTCCCGCCATTTGGCAGCCAATCGATTGTTGGCACAACACCAGCCCACATTTCCAGGTGGTCAGCGGTGACGCATAATAGATGCGACTAATGCGGCAAAGCGACTTATTTATATATTTTTTCCACGTTATTAGACATATTTGGAAACTGCAGCATAACAAGCTAAAACACTTTTGTTTAATGTTAGCGTTTGGAAAACATTTCGTTTTGGCTTTTTATTACCTTTTCCTAGGTGAAAGTTAGGATTCTGATTTTTCATTTGTCATTAAATTGTTTTGACAGTGGCTACACCCTTCAAGGGTTGAAACCAATGAGTTAGCCAATACAAGATCACTCAAAGCGTCACCTGTGGGAAGAGATATCTGCTCTCCACGGACTGGTCGATGTGCGTGCTGGCTGGACAGCAGGTGTGCAGGAAGGGAAGAAAAGTCTCAGAGTAATCAAATAAAAATAAATAAAATATGGTGAGACGAGGGGAGCGTTTCAGTCCGTACAGCAGGAACAGAGACTTCCCCGCATTAGCTGCCTGGAAACAAAGACAAATGCAGCATTCCTCAACAGCCTTTTAAGTGTTTTAAATTGGATTTTAAAAAGTACAACAAATGTTCAAGCCAGAAATTATAGCTTAAAACCGTAACTGTAGAGAATTGTACATCCTTAAAAGAATTTAAGAGTTTATTCAACACTTCTGTGGAACAGACTTGATTCAAATTGATTTCAACAAATGCTAAAAAAATAACACGGACACTTCGCTCAGGACCAAAATCATCACACGCGTGCGTCACAGATCCACGCTGCTTACTTTGTATTCCCAGAGGTTCTGCGGAGATTTGACTCCCAGGATTTTAACTTTCTCCAGTTCAGCCACGACAACTTGTCTGTGAGTCTGATTCTCAATGTTAAAAGGAGATTTCAAAAGCTCTTCGTCCCCCAGCATCAACAGCAGCCTGGAGCGTAAAAACAACAGGAATTACATGCAGGACATAGAAAATTTGCAGGTATTACATGCAGGACATTAAAAACAACGCATCTACCTCCCGTTAACATTCTCCTGCTGGAAAGGTTTTCTGTAGGGCTCGGTCCACGGACCCAGGTCCTCCAGCCATGACACGACCTCTGCTGGTGTCCAGTGAACTACAGGTTTACTGATCAACAGGTCAGGCTGTTCCAGGACTCCACTGCCCCAGTGATAGACCAGCACCACCACCTGGAAACATGCAAACGTTACAGGGACAGAACAATGGTTCAGAGCGTGAGATCACAGCGAAGTGTTGCTCAACATTTAGTAGAAACAGATAAACTGTGGCATCTTCAGCAGTATTCATGAAAACAAGAACAATCAAAATGTTCAACAGCTCCAATTCCTGGACAATAAGTAGCAGTAAATACCATGTAACATTTAGAAACCGTTTCCTGTCGGTATATATATTTTTTATTTTTCATGAATCAACAAATAAAACACCTTTTTTTCCATTCAAGTTACTGCAAGCCGAGCACAGGAAATAGTGACTTTTTCAGCAAAGCCAGCTTTTGTTCACTAATACTTTAACAAGTCACTGTAAAACAACTTAAAATGAGAGAAATACATATAAAGTACAAACATTGTAGATTATCAGTCTTGCGCAATGACACCCTGATAACTCACTAAACAAACTTCAATAGAAAATGCCCTTTATTGTTATTAATTAGTTTTTCTTGCGTTGTGTTTTGGCTGATTTGAATACCAGTATTTTTTTTTAAGTACAACCAGTAGTAACTGAAAATGATTTTAGGTTTGTTGTTTTGATTAAAGCACAACAAAAACTAAAAGTAACTTTTATTGAAACAATAGCAGGTCTCATGTTGTTAAAGGCTATATAAAACTAAATATCTGTCATTTAGAAACAGATGTATTTGTACAGACAAAATAGATTTAAGAAATAAATTAGTTTATTTTCTTTATCCATCTTAACTTTTTTTTTGTTGCTTTGATACATATTAAAAACTTACAAGCAAACGTGTTAAATATTTAGCATTTTAAAAACAGTTTCTGTGTTAAGTCTCATTTGTTGACTCCAGTCGTAACTTGACGTTTGTAATTTCATGATTGTTGTTTCCTGATGAACGTGGCAGATGACGGAACGTCTTAGCTGTGATTTCCCTGACTTTTCATTCAGCTGCTTTGCTCCTGTTGAATTATTCAGTGGGGGGGGGGGGGGCTTTTTTTGTCTCCAGACGTTCCTAAACAGTTCATTGTTTATTCATTTAACGCTTTTATCACCTTTTCTGATAATGCAAACACTTTGCTATCACACTGAAACACAAGATTAATTGATTAATGAAGGTGATGCACCCCCGTACTCCATATGTTTGAAACTATCATACATATTAATGATGCTTTCTGTTATTGTCATGTCAGGATTGGGCAGTGTTACAGTAATACAGTGCCCAACCTTTGCATGCAAACACCAGAACTTGTCAGGAATGTTACCTTTCTGTGCAAATATTGTGGATGAAGTCAAACAAAGAGCCCAAAATATCAAATTGATGCTCGGCACACAGGTCAAGGCTGAGCTCTCTGACAAGATAAAACGATCACCTTGGGAGTACGATATTTGGAGTGATGTCATTCATTTACATGCAACCAACAGCGAACAGTTAAACCTACACAAACCTGAATTTACTGCCACGTTGCAAGCCCCACAGTGACATTGCTCCCAAGAGCCACATGGACAAAATAAACATGTTCTTTTGACAGAGTGGGGAAAACTGACCTTTTGAGCCACAGACATGATAGCCTTTTCATTGCATCTGCTACTGTGGAACAGCAGCACGCAACAGCCTCGAGTCATGCTTTTAGCAAATGTATGAATCTATTACAATTCTGACTTCTTCAAAACACATTTATTTCCCGTCGTCGTACTTACAGCCACACACGTGAGTGCAGTCAGGACTCCAGAGAAGAAGGCTCCTGCTCCTTTGCACTGTCTTTTCTTGGACCTACCCAAGTTGTCACCATACCTAAGAAGAGCCAAGATGAAGATGAAGTGTTTTGCCAAACGTCAGCTCCTTTGATTTACAAAATAAAACAAAAAACATGTCAAAACGGATCAGACACGGAGCAATTCGCAAAAGTAAGCGGTAATGGGGCTGAAATAACAACTGCAAGAAAAAAAAACAATCTGGAAATATTTCCTAAAAAGATGAGAAAATATGTTTAATAACAAACTGTGAGACTCGTGTCCTCAGCTTAAAAGAAGACCAAAACGAGATTTTCCTGCAGTAAGTGAGCCGCTACGGTTCAAACATGTCGACAAAGTAACATAAAGGTTAAAAAGTATTTCTGAAACCTCAAAGGATTTTACTTGGAGAAAAAGTTACCTTTGAAATGCCAACAGGCTGCGAGCAACTGGGTGGTTTGTTTGGATTTCTGCTTTCCTCCGCTGAATAACTTCGCTGAAATGGATTTCAATTGCATCTCTAAAAAACAAAAACGAAATAATAATAATTAAATACAGGTAATTACCGTATTTTTCGGATTATAAAGCGCATTATCAATGAACGGGTCTGCTTTCATACATAAGGCACACCGGATTACAAGGCTCACTGTTGATTTTTGAGAAAAATGAAAGGATTTTAAGTGCGCCTTATAGTCCGAATAATACGGTACAAGTTATTTTAATTAAACTGTAAAACCAAACCACATGCCAAAAAGTAGTAATGACACTGGTTGTGCCCTTGTTTTTCTGGGGCAACGTCCAACCACAAACAGATACCGGTAGGTATTACAGCTAACTTGTGCCGTTTTTATGTTTTGTGAGGTTTACAGTGCACGGTAATTCATTAAGTTTCCACGCATTTTCAAAATGCACACTTCAGAAACCAATAGTCCAACTCCATTTTGAAACCTGTCTCAAACTCTAGAACCCAATGCTAAAACCTTTTGTAGCACTCTGAAAGAACGTTTAAGACAACTTTCAAGGGTCCCAAAAGACACTTGAGTTTTGAGCAATCGCTGAAACAAACCCTGTTCAAGCACAGAGACAGAAACGTTTGCTCTTGTTTCAAACTGTACACAGATCAGACTGCAGGCTTCCTCATCCCAGACTGATGAACCCTAACACACATTAACTGGCTAAACGAGAAAAAACTGAACAAATTTATATTTATAGTTGGTGCTACACTTAATGATGTATACAGCTTTTCAACAGTATTGGACTTATCCACATGCACTACATAAAAAATAAAATTTTTCTATAAAGCCTGACCTTTCATTCTCATTTGCATCACAGTCTTAAAGTGAGAGCAGATTTTTTTTTTTGTAGAACAAACTCCAATTGGAGAGTTTTGCTGTAAACCAGAGGACTTGTGTAACAATGACACAGACATCCATATCTCTGACCTGATTGGATCTTATCAGCTTTGTGTTCTATCACCCAATCACATGCGTCTTATCACTAAACAACCATCAGTCTGCCTCTCATTAACAAATACATTCATGGTCATTCATGGGTTTTTTTTCCTTCACCCGAGTGTACCCAAATTATAGTCTGAAGTGTTTTACTTTTTTCATGTTTCCTTTAAATTTTAAACTGAAAGCTCACCAGTAACTAAATATATGATCATCCTCCAAACCCTGCTGACTTAACGAATGAGTCAAACTTTTTGTAGTTTTGATCCGTTAACTTTGAAACACAAACCAGAATAACTGTTTCTTCTTAAGAAACATAACAAAAAATAATTGTTAGCAAGAACTTGTGCTGGAGATTAAAACCTCAGTGTTTTTGTGGCATTCTTCCAATGGGGGTGCACCTGCACCTGGACCTGACGTTCTGTGTTCGTTTGTCTCTCCTTCCTGTTCCTCTCAAACCCCAGCCGGTCGAAGCAGATGGCTGCTCATCCTGATGAAGGTTTCTTCCTGTTAAAAGGGAGTTTTTCCTTTCCACTGTCGCCTTTGTGCTCGCTCAGGAGTGGAGACCGTGACGAAGTCTGCTGGCTTCCTTCCTTTGATCACTTTTAGCTTTTGTGTGTATGTGAATGTTTCTGTTCAGTGCCCTGAGATGACTTCTGTTGTGACTCGGCGTTATCTGAATTGAACTGAATTTTGAGTAGCAACACAAAATTGGGTGTGTAAAAACGATGCAAGCATATGTTTATGTTTAAAATTCTGGCAAAGAATATTTGATTCAATCTGTCATTTTCGTTTTCTTTATTTAGACGTTTCTACCATTGTTGTTATTTGCACATTTCTGTTTTTTGTTGAAACCTAGAGGAAAACCAGTGTAACTGTGAGCATATTACCTCATTGATATGTTGATTTTAGGGAAGCCTTCCCACTTCTCACGGCACTCTGGGCATTCATTCTTGCGCGAGGACTCCCACCACAGAGCCAGACAGTGGCGGCAGACGTTGTGGCCGCAGGTCAAAGTGGTGGGGTTGACCAAAATGTCGTAGCAACAGTGGCAGGTGAATTCACGCTCTGAAATTCCGCTTGTTCTTGGCCTTATTTGACGAGATTCAGATACATAAGAGGAGTCATCCATTAAGACTGCTGGACCATCACCATTGTGATCTGAAGTATCCCAATCCATCTGGAGCAATAACCAATCTGAACAAAAGGAAGCAAAACTTTAGAGAAAGGATTGTATCAAACAGATTTATTTGAAACATGAAAAATAAAGGCATCATTGTTAAATGCATCAAAATGTTCTCTGGTAAAACTATTTCCATGTATAGACCTGCTGAACAAACATAAAAAGTAGCAGAACACCAGAAAGCCCATCATTATGGAGATACTCACACTGAAAACAAATTATGCTTAACTGAAGCTAAGTTACCTGGGAGCAACACATCTGCAAGGAAGGCAGAAGATGGTAAAAATTAGGTAGATGATCTTGGGCTTGCAGCAAAAGAGCACTATTTAGAAAAACTGCTAATAATTGGTGGCTCTGACCCATACACGCTTGGTAAACGATTTGTAGATGAGAAGGATCTGCCGGCAGTGACCTACCCAGACATTGTTAACTACATGGTGATTTCACCAAGTCCTCATACCGCTGATGATCTGTAATGTGTGGTGTTACAGGCAGATGTGTTGCGGGTGAATCAGAGAAACAGCACACACAGTTTAGTGACAAGTGCCTGGTAAAGGCAAGGTAAGCAAAGTACGTTGGCCTACTAGGCCTATGTGGTGTACCTTGTATAAAAGGCACTTATAAAAGAAATATTATCATACCTGACACAAAATGTGCAGAACTCAGATGTTGCTCATAGTTTTTCTGCTTTAACCTGGCAAGCCTCAGTTCCAAGGGTCATTTTTGCCTAATGATTTGTAATCATGTGTGGTAGCATGTAATACTGAGTCTTCTTCGCGATCTCACCAATCAGGGCATCTATCCATATACAATTAACAATTTCTTGATATTTTAATGGAAAAATATGACACTCCCGATAAAGCAAAAGCTCAAACCTGCATGCTGCCATTACGGCCAACTTCTGGTGCAATTTAAAGTATGTGTCACCTGAAAACATTACACTGCAACTTTAGTTATTCAGTGCCTTATAAAGAAAAAGGTTTGTAAGCTCAATCATCCAGGTAGATAACAAAAAAACTGTTAAATCATTTCATCTGGACCAGTCGGCCTAAAACATTTGATTGTTAATCGTGATGACTGATCGTTTTGGGCAGATGGGTCCTTTTGCATGTGTTAAAAGCTGCTTCTGAGATTCCAACAGGAGGTTGGCTTGAAACACAGCAATGAAGGCTACTTATGGGACAGATCTGGTTGGCAGGCCGCAGACTGATGAAGTCTTCTGGATGGAAGACGAGACGTTTCTCCCTTAAAGTAACTGGTCCTGATGAAACGATTTAACAGTTGTTGTGGTTATGTTGCCTTATTAAGAATTTCCTGCTTTTGAAAATACTGTAAATTTAAAAAGCAGTCCGTTTTAAAGAGACCATATCAGAAAATACCTACAGTACTAGCTGTGTGAAAGTAATATAATAATTGTGAGAATTATGATGCCCTGAACAAATATTTATTCAACCTTTATTTACACAGGTTAGTTCCATTGAGCCTCGGGGACTCATTAACAACAGTCATTTACATTTTATTTTAAATAAAAACGGACATTAATTCCTTATTAAATTATACTGCAAGCAAAGTAAACTTACCAACGGAGATGCTTTAAATAGGTTAAGGATTTTGAACTATAGAAAATGTCAGAAGCTATTTTTTAAGAGTTAATTGACCCGACTGCTTTAGAAACCTAGCAATGTACCACTGTTTAAAACGAAAACAAGTACATTCAACTGGGACACAAACATCCTGGTCTGGAAAGTTACCTGAGCTAACTGGGAACTAGCTACGAGCTAACTTATTGGCATGTTGTGGTTTCCTAAAACAACAGGAGCAAGTTACTACAGGGACCAAACAGGTGCTACGATAACTTAGCCTAGTTAGCTGGTCAGAACAGTTAGCTATAACATAAGTAGTTTAAAAAACAATCTAACCGTGTTAATCCTGGCCTCAGGTTGGATTTAAAGGGGTAAAGAGGTGAATGTTGACTTGACTGACCGGCTAAATGTTCTGTGGAAGTTCAAGTGGTCGCAGACAGAGCACAGATGTGTCTGCTTGAATATCTCGCCATAGCTCCTGCCGTGCCCGCCTCTTCTTCTTCTTCTTCGTCGTCTTCTTCTTCTTCTTCTTCTTCTTCTTCTACGCTCCGACGTCAGTCTGTTGTGTATGAGCCGTTCGCTGGATGATGGAAGATGTACTGGACCAAAGTTCAGATGTTATCCTTCGGCCTGAGGTAACCCGCTGCTCCTGATTCGTCACAACGATAATAACGAGTGTATGGCAAGCCATATAAAGTGTAACCTGTTACCTTACACGTAGGCTTGCGTGGACAACTGTTCCAGCTGCTGATCTTCACCAGTAACCAGAGCCCTGTAAAGAGCTCTGCCAGTAACAGACCACTGAGACTTACCAGTGTTGCCAGATAGAGTCATGGTTTTCCATCCCAAAAATCTGATAAAAACCGCCACATTACACAAAAATCCGCCCAATCAATATATTGTTATATTTACTGTTTGAACATGAACGCACAT